CTGATAAAGTATGAAAGTCACTCCCATGTTCAATATTCTGCCTTTCCATCCCTCTGTCCAATCCTCCGGTCACCCATACAATGATTAAATTCAGATTACTCATTTTCCGGATGACTTGCAAAGTTGAAACACTAAGAATAAAATACAAGCTGGGGTTTGGTTTCTTGGGGGCAATTTTCCCCCCATTGTTTTCCCTCTAGCTAAGCTTTTTTTTGTGTATGCAACAAATAAGGAAAGGATTATTAAGAGAAAGCCATTCATTCAATGCATGGGGGCTTAATCATTTTGGAAAGTGTTACAGGCTGAACTGCATATGGATTTGAAGAATCTGAATACCAGGAAATTTTATATTTAAATATTCTATGTGCTCGCCCTTCCGTCCCATGGCTTACCTATAGGAGCCGTGGTGGTGCAGTATTGCAGGCTAGAATGGTTAGAATGGTTAGAATGCAGTATTGCAGGCTAGTGGTTAGAATGCAGTATGGTGGTTAGAATGCAGTATTGCAGGCTAACTCTATCCACAGACTGAGGTTTGATTGTGATGGGGCTTTTATAAAAAAGAATGGGTCCCTTTTCAGTCCCAAGGTTGAAGCCACCATCTTGACATCCTCCTCCCAGTGAATTCCATGGCTGGGAAATTCTGGGAGTTGAAGTCCACAAGGCTTAAAGTTGCCAAGTTTGGAGACCTCTGATTTATTTTGCAAAACATTCCTTAGACTTGACAAGGCTTCCTCTGGCCTAAACATGTGCATCTTCTGGTGGGAGGGAAATGCAATTTTGGCACATTTTTTAAAATTATGTTTCAGCCTTTTTTAAGGCAAGATAAGATAAGATAAGATGAGATGAGATGAGATGAGATGAGATGAGATGAGATAAGATAAGATAAGATAAGATAAGATAAGATAAGATAAGATAAGATAAGATAAGATAAGATAAGATAAGGTGATATAAGGTGAGATAAGATAAGGCAAGGCAAGATAAGATGAGGCGAGGTGAGGTGAGGTGAGGCGAGGTGAGGTGAGATAAGAGATAAGATGAGATGAGATGAGATGAGATATGGTAAGGTAAGGTAGGATAGGATAGGATAGGATAGGATAAGGTAAGGAGGTGAGATGAGATGAAATGAGATGAAATGAGATGAGATGAGATAAGATAAGATAAGATAAGATAAGATAAGATAAGATAAGATAAGATAAGATAAGATAAGATAAGATAAGATAGCCTTTATTGACATTTTTTACTGTGGGCACAACGACACACATCAAAAATGAAATTTATCTAATGGAATGAAAATATCTAATGGAAGCACCAGACCTGGTTTGGCAGTTTACTCATTTTTTGGCTTTGAATTGAACTTTCTATATATCATTAGTTATATTTCCTTACTTTGATTGAAGTTTAACCTGATAATGTTCATTGTGTTTGTTAGTTAAGAGGTAGACTCTAAAACAGGGGTGGACAACTATGGCCCCTTTATGGACTTCAACTCCCAGAACAGCTGAGCCATTTCTGAGTTGATGTCTACAGTTGACGTAAAGGGGACATGGTTGCCCATCCCTGCTCTAAAATCAACTCTCTGTTCATTGAAGCAAGATGGTCATTACATACTTACTCTCAAATATTTATAAAAACTATATAATTTCATGTCTTCTCTGTCATTGTACTTCAGTATTTAAGTATGCACAACAGCTTAAATATTAATGAGATGGAGTTAAAGAATAAACTCTCACTGATCTCTCTAAAACCCTGTTAAGCTGTGAGAGACATAGATTCAATTCATTCATTATGCTAAGCCATGATGAGCTTAGCCTAACTTTGTTGAACAGAGTAGAGTAGAGTAGAGTAGAGTAGAGTAGAGTAGAGTAGAGTAGAGTAGAGTAGAGTAGAGTAGAGTAGAGTAGAGTAGAGTAGAATAGAACAGAACAGAACAGAATAGAATAGAATAGAATAGAATAGAATAGAATAGAATAGAATGGGACCTTGGAGGTCTTCTAGTTCAGCCCCCCTGCTGAAACAGGAGAACCTATATCATCTCAGAGAGGTGGATGTCCAGTCTCTTCTTAAAACCTCCAGTGATGGAGCTCCCACGATCTCAGGGGTAAGCTGTTCCACTGGTTGATTGTCCTCACTGTCAGGAAATTTCTTCTTAGTTCCAGGTTGCTTCTCTCTTTGGTCAGTTTCCAACCGTTATTTCTCATCCTTCCATCGGGTGCTTTGGTGAACAACCTGGCCCCCTCAGATACTGGAACAAATATAATAAGTGACAATTTACCAGATCCACACGATACACTAAAGCCTGGCTTACATATCATGGTGACTAGGTTCTTCAAGCAAGTAAACCACATTTTAGCTTGGTAGGATGCATAGATCTGGCTACTGTTTCGTTAACTCCAAGGGCTACCATTCAATACATGAAGTTTAATTGGATTATAAATCAATCCTGCAGAAGTGAAAAGGTTTTCCAAGATATCTTGTTAAATTTTTAAGCTTTGTTTGGAGTACACCTTGTACTTTGAACAATAATCCCAGTATTTGCCTTAAATTTAATTTTAGACAGAACCTGTCGGTTCCATTGTAATTATGCCAGTTCTTCTTTTCAGTTCTGCGGAAAATTTAGCTAATCCAATCAATTAAAAAGAAACTTTGCAGAACTTTTGCATGGATTCCTAATTAATCACAGGATTTCAATTCTGACAAATTGTTTGGTGACTCAGAGGTAGTTTTACACCTTGATGTAAAAGTAAAAGTCATTCATGAAAGTTCATGGGACAAAACAGATACAAATTTGCATTACCTTTGCAGTATTTTGCTTTATAAACACATCTTATTTTTTTTATTATTATTGAATTTGTACATTGCCTAACTTCAAGCCACTCTCACCACGGTAAATTATTTGAAGAAAAGTCGAGGGAGCTAGCTATATCTAACCTATTGAAGAAGGAATAGGGTGGACATGGTACCTGTCTTCCAGTACTTGAAGGGCTGGCCCAGAGAAGATCACCTGAAGGGAGGACAAGAAGTAAGATGGAAGCTTATCAAAGAAAGATCCAACCTAGAAGTAAAGTGAAATTTCCTGACATTGAGAACAATTAATCAACAGAACAGCTTTGCCTCCTGGAATTGTTGGTGCTCCATCACTGGAAGTTTTCAAAAATAAACTCGACAGCTATTTGTCCAGGATCATATAAGGTCTCCTGTCTTAAGTGAAGGGTTAGACTAGAATACCTCTAAGGTCCCTTCCAGCCCTATGATTCTATTTTCTATATGAAAAAATCAAATTGAATTATTTTAGATTTCACTGCAGTGGGAAGAGAGGTCAGGGCCTCTGTTCCTCGCCTGGGCCCTGCCTGAATCCCATTTAAAAGTTTCTAGATCCTTCCTGTGAACGTTTTCACATTATCATATTTATGAGGTTATGTTTATGAGGAAAAGTTAACAATCTGATGCTGGATCAGTCCGTCACCAAAACAAAGAGCAGATAGAAACTATATCTCTTAGACTGTCAGATTTATTTATTTTTTTTGTTACAGCTCTACGGTTCTTCTGATTAAGAAGCACTTCATGCTAGGAACAAGTCTTTCAGGCCTTTGATTAGTCAGATTTATGAAGAAGAATGTTAAGGTAGCAACAGGCGAGTTCTGGAGAGAATTGTATTTTAAACTAAAAAACCTATCTGTAGGCAGAGTAGTCTCCGGTGCTTTTTTGTCTGCTTCTTTGAAACAAAAAAGAAGGGGAGGTTTGTCTCAGGTGAATGTGGTGGTCTGCACCTATTGATTATTTTAGAAATGGTTGCTAGATTCCTTTTCAAGGTGAGAAATGGCTCCCAAGCTGTTCCTAAGAGATCTCTAGCCTTTTATGTAGAATGGAAAGGGGAAAAGGAGGCAAAGAGTATGAATATTGATTGTTACAAATAGAATTGCAATGGATATCAGCAGTTCCTGGAATTCTTTGTTAATGGTTTCTTAACTCTGCTGTAATAAATCACTTTTCAGAAGTTCCCAGATTCATGTGGGTCTGTATAATTAGTTTCAGACTAGCCAGCTGAGTAGAAAACTGACTCCTGTTCTACTCATTTCCTCAGCCTCTTTAAACCAAATAGGAACTAGACAGGTCTTCAACTAAAGGATACCTTCAAATAAAAGAACTACATCAAATCCTCATTTCAGTTTACTGTCCAACATTTACCGATCAGCCTGTATTCTACAATGAAATTAGAATTACTAGCAGAAAGCTATAAATATATCACTGAGATCCGCATGTAAAGATTACAGTTAGTATCAATAGATTCAGATGTAGTACAGTGATATTCAGGTAAAAGTAATCTGCTAAGAGTTGCTTTCAATGATATGAGTGCCTTTGTTTGTTTCTTTGTTTGTTAAATGTATTTAGCCATCGAACTCACATTAAGGTGACTTCAGGTGACTTACAACATTTAAAAAATCCACCATATAATAAAATGCAATTAAATAAACATTTCTCACCCAGAAAACCATTGGAAGTTAAGGCCCACACATTTCAAAGTTGCCAAAAGTTGAGAAACACTACTTTCCTGAATGGAAATGATACATATCAGTTTCATCCTACTCATCCCATCAGGCCAATCAAAGCAGCCCATCTTCAACTTCTACCAAAAGATCTATCAGAATCCAGAAATAAGTCAATGACGACTCAGTCATCCAGGCCAAAAAGGTTGAATCACGGCAACTGGACCAAAATTTGATCCGGTTGCCATGATTCAACCTTTTAGAACCCAGAAATGGTTTTGTGCTGGGTTTAAAACCAAGCCTTTTCTTTCCCGTGTAACACGCAACACCCTATCCTTGTCCTCTGTTGTTAATTTGAGAATATGACAAAATTGAGGAAGCAGACTTCATTGAGTAAAGCCTACTACTATTCACACAGGCTAAGCCTTGGCCCTGTTGAATGATCCAGCATCTTCTCCCTTTCAGAAACAGAAGGAAAAAGTATCGAACACCTGTTGCATTTTTGTCTTTGTTTAGTGCCGGGGTTCCCGTATCCAGCTGCAACTGCAGCTGCCGCGTACCGAGGAGCCCACCTTCGAGGCAGAGGTCGCACCGTCTACAACACATTTCGTGCCGCAGCACCCCCACCTCCAATTCCAGCTTATGGCGGGTAAGTTGCTAGTCGCCCTGGGCTTCTTCATCCTGTCGCTCTGCAGCTTCCATCTTCTACTTACTTCCCCACAGGGAAGAGCCCCCCCCCCCCAAAAAAAAGGCAATCGAGCATTTGTGAATGCCAGGCACAACCATTTTGTCTCGCCACACCAACCTCGCACAGCGTGGAGCCAATCTCAGTCGCCTGAAGTGGATCACCTTGCACACGGGGGTTGACAAATGATAGTAATTTGCCCTGTCATGGTTGGTGGCTTTCAAGCATTTTGTGCGTCCCATGTTGTTATGCAAATTCCCCTAACGCCAGGGAGAGGAAATGCAGAGCTGGGTTGGGAGGGCGATGGCAAACATCTGGTTCTTGAGGAGGTGGAATCATATTTTAAATCTATTTTTAAAGAGAAAATTTGACTTGTAACCCAGAAGGATTTAATGTATTATTACGGTTAACAGCAAAATGATGACTACGTAGAAAGCTGGTATGTGCTCTAAGTTTGTAGCAAAGAGTGTAATGCTTGTGAAGAATTGCCCAGCCAAACATATAAATTATTGTGGGGGAAAGGCTGTCTCTTAAAATGCCACACATTTATTTCTCCCATACAAGATCATATTGTTTATTCACTCAACTAGGAGATTAAGGAGAAGGCAATCCCCCATGTTGGCTGGGGAATTCTGGGAGTTGAAGTCTACAAGTCTTAAAGTTGTCAAGTTGGGAGACCCCTGCAATAGGACCATTAAAGGCTACCTGCTCTAGATGTTGATGAATTCAATCCTGTCCAATCATAGAAAAATTAGCCCATCCCTTTTAGGCTTTTCTTTGTCTTCTTTCCATTTCTTGAAGCATGTATAGCAGGGCAAAATATAGAGAATTGCGGTCTCTAGCTTTCTTGAAACAGAAGCATAAATCTGGAGAGAAGTTACTTTCACTTATTTGCAAAGTGTCTCAGAAGCCATGGTAGTAACAGGGCAGCAGATCAATTGGGACAGTCCTTCCTCTTCCCTTCCCCCTTTTTTTTTCTCTTGGATTTGAAAAAGAAAAAAGAAGAATGCCTTTGTTAAAATGATGAGCTGAAATGGCTGGCCAAATCACTCATCTTCCATTGCTGAAGGTCGATTGGACTCTGAGACTCCATCCAGATCTAGTCAAGTGATCTAAGGGGCAAGGGAGGATACCACCATTGTAAAAGGAGTGTGAGTCTAATTCAGTGGTGGGATTTAAATATGTCAACAACTGGTTCTCTGTGTGGATGCCGCTTCTGGAAGTTCATTCTGGGCCTGGGCAACAAAAAAATAGCTACTGGTTCTGCCGAAGTGGTGCGAACCGGCTGAATCCCACCACTGGTCTAATTGGAACAACTTCACACTCTATAATTATCAGAAGAAACAATAAAACACAAGGGAGACTCCATTTCAAAGCTTAGGAAAACTCCATTTAAACCTGAAGTTGTTATTTTTCACGCTGTCTGGAAGGCTGCAGCAAAATATATCAGTAGGCAGTCTCAGACAGTCAGCTACTTCCATATTATCCACCGATAGATGGAATTTTGACTTGGCTTTATTTGTTAATCTAAAAATCACAAACCAAGTAAATGTGAGAGTACATACTTATTTTACTCTTTTCCCGTTTTATCACGGTTCAGCTGAGCTTAGAAAACGATGGACGGGAATCCTCCCAAATTGAAACTGAAATTTTGATTCTGACTTTATCCTCATTATGGCTGTCCATATTTTTCCTACTTCTGTTTACAAGGACTACAGGTAGTCCTGTACATACAACCATAATAGAGGCTTCCCATCACATTCGTAAGTTGTGACTGTCATAAAGCAGATCACCCACGTGACCAGCCTGATCTTACGGCCTTTATTGTAGCAATTGTTAAGCGAATGCCAAGGTCGTAAAGCAAATGCTAAGTTGCAAGGTGGAAACCTTGTTTACGGTGGGGCCAGCTTTGCTGAAAACTTGAAGTAAATGCCAACATGTGGTTACATGATTGTGGTGGGGGGGCAGCCATCAAATCTTTAGAACTGGATCGTAAGTATTCCTGAGGAGATCTATCATAACTTCGAACATTCGCTAAGCAACTGAAGGAGATGACCAGGCTGAGCCTGAGGGAGAGTCAAACACATCATCAGTCTCGCGTCCCTTTGTGCCCACAAGAGATCTAAGTCCAGCCCACCGCGAATTCCTTATCTACTGCCAATTTGCTTTGACTGTTAGTGGTTCAGATTCTTGTTCCGAGAGCTTTAGCATACAATAAATCTTGATACTCGTCTGAACTGCCTGGATTTTCTGATTTCCCTGGCATTTGACAGCAACTGTAGGGAAGTGATTTTGATTGTGACTGATTTGGAGGAGGATGTGTGTGTTAAATCTTCCCGATAATAAGTTCTTAAANTTCTTAAAACTTCATTTTTTTCCCCAAGTAGGATACTCATCTTGAGACAGAGGAAAGCCATTTTAACAAATGGAGAACAGATGTACAATTATTATAGTGGGAAAAAGCACTGTTTGATGGAATGTTGAGAACAGTTGCAAAATATAATGACACACTATACAATATGTTGCTTTCAGAATTACATTCCATCATTTTTTTTCCTGTTACATTTTTTTTTCTTTCACATACATAAAATCAAGATCAGAAGATGCTTTCGGTCTCAACCGAGAACAACTTTTTTTATGGCTTGTCATTAATCCTGGACTGTAGTAGAAAGAGAGATAGTGATCTATCAGTTTTTCAGACGAATATACATTATTTCATTCCATCAAATTTTCTGGGACTAATAAAAAAGAATCCTTCTTTATTGTTCTGTACAACTTTTTTACACAGGCAGGTTTTGGAAAACAATTTTTCACACAGAGAGAGAACCAAGTTCCTAAAACTCTTGTGTTTTTAAAAATGTAACTACTATATTTTCCCAATAATAAGACCTAACCTAGCATGATTTTTCAGGATGCTCGTAATATAAGCCCTACCCCCCAAAATAAACCACAATTAAGATCATCAGCCAGACAGATGCATTTAGTACTGTATTTCCCTCCAATATAAGACCTAACTGAAAAATAAGTCCTAATGCTTCTTTTGGAACAAAAATTAATATAAGACATGGTCTTATTTTTGAGGAAATATGGAATTCTTAAGATGGGTTTATATCTTATTCTCTCATGTAAATCCCTCAAATATATCCTGTGCTGTACATTTTTTTTCTCCAGAACATAAGTAGGCTGAGAACTTCAAATTTTATATTCTTAGGGTACTTCTATATTGACTCCAAGATCCAATGTGTTGAGTGTAATTCAAGATACCAGAACAGAGGACCAGATAACAACTAGCAGGTTGAAATGAAAAGGAAAGCGATTCAGGATGAACCTTAAGTTTTTCCTAAAGTCCTCTTCGTGGCCATCTTGAGTCTCTTGGTGATAGGATGGTCCTTGAAATTGAATTAATAAATAAATAATGCATGCATTTAAAGGAATTTCCCCACAACAAGAGCTTTGAGATAGTGAAACAACCAGTCAAGGAAAGTAGTGGTTTTTCTTTGCTGAAGGTTTTCAAATGGCTTTGGTTTGGGGTTCTCTACACTTCTTTTGGACCATAAGAAAGGCTGAGCACCAAAGAATTGAGGCCTTTGAATTATGGTGCTGGAGAAGACTCCTGCGAGTCCCCTGGACTGCAAGGCGATCAAACCGGGCAGTCCTAGAGGAGATCAACCCTGACTGCTCTTTAGAAGGCCAGATCCTGAAGTTGAAACTCAAATACTTTGGCCACCTAATGAGAAGGAAGGACTCACTGGAGAAGAGCCTAATGCTGGGAAAGATGGAGGGCAATAGAAGAAGGGGATGACAGAGAATGAGGTGGCTGGATGGAGTCACTGAAGCAGTAGGCATGAGCTTAAATGGACTCCAGAAGATGGTAGAAGACAGGAAGGCCTGGAGGAACATTGTCCGTGGGGTCATGATGGGTCGGACATGACTTCGCAACTAACCACAACAACAACACACTTCTTTTCCCAACAAAACCAGGGCAGAGATTCTTTCTCTTGCTCATTTAGAGTTTCTTTCCCAGGTTTTCCACTTCTGCAGGACCAAGTATCTTCTCTGAAACTCTCCCCATAATAGTTTGCTCATTTTTCCCCCTCCAGTCCCATGGTATTCTTTCACATAGTTTTTCCTCACAACAGCATCCCATTGAGGTAAATTGGCACAAGTGAGAATGACTGGCACAAATGTTGTCAATGCTGTGGCTGAGGAGAGAATTAAACTTAGATTTAATTGCTTTCAGATCATGTAATGTAATTACACAGTCCCCAGAATTAATCCAAAGCAGCCCTTTCTTGCAAATATTTGGGATGGATGGCAATGCAGATTATTAGAACGAGTGCTGTATTTAGTGCTGGGATTCAGCCAATTCGCACCACTTCGGCAGAACAGGTAGCAAATTTTTTTGTTGCCCAGGCCCCAAATGGACTTCCAGAAGCGGCATCCACACAGAGAACCAGTTATTCACATATTTGAATCCCACCACTGGCTGTATTGCTACCAAGAGACCTTGTAGCTTTGCATTTCAGGGGAATATTTGGGGAGAAAAATATTGAAAAGTTGTTTTTATCCCTACTGGTCTTTTTGACAAATAATTCCTGTTATGCAAGACGTTCAGTATTCCTTAGAACGCAGCTTCAAAATGCAGGTTTAAACGAATTCTAGACAGCTGAAAAACCCAGCTGAAGATATATTCAATTAGGTCCTTTCATTTAGATCTTCCCCTCAATGCATAATGATCTGAGGTGAGGTGATCATTTCCACAAAGATGTATACGAGTGTGTTGCCTTGTAAAAAATAAAAAGGTTTGCCAAAAATTGGGTAGGCCAATGGAAGATGGTGGTATCACACACGCCTCCTTATACCACAGTGGTGTGGAACAGAGTACAGTTAGTCCTTGACTTACAACAGTTCATTTAGTGGCCTTACAAAGTTACAGCAGCACTGGGAAAACGTGACATTTTCCACATTTGTATTTCACATTTTTCACAACCATTGAAGCGATGGTTGCAGTGTCCTGGGTCACGTGATCCGTTTTGCTACCTTCAGACAAGCAAAAATCAATGGGGAAGCCAGATGCACTTAATGAGCTTGTTAATAACTTAGTAACTGCAGCGATTCACTCAGTAGTTGTGGCAAGAAATTGACTTCACCCCTGTCTTGCTTAGCAACAGAAATTTCCGGCTTAATTGTGATCATAAATCGAGGATTATCTGTACATACAACCAGTCATTTGGTCTCCAACACAAGTGATAACATCATGACTGGCATCTAGACTGGTGAAGAACATTTTGCTCTCCTGCTGAATTAGGGATGGACCCCCCGTTCGCCTCCCCTTGTGGCTCAGCTCCGTTGCCATGTGTGAAGGGGGCTTGTCTGCCTATAAATGGAACAGGTGTTATGCTAGAATGGTAAAGCAGGATAGGATATTGCATCTGTAACAATCTGTGAAGTTTGGCCAAGTTAGTTGAGGTGCTGTGGGGATATCTGAAACTCCATGGTGAAAATCCTAGGTTGGTGTATTGAAAGATGTAGCCCCAGCATAAAACACCTGTATATTAGTGGGCAGATGTTAATGCTATCAGTTTCCTTTCTTCTGAAAAAAAAACAACAAAAACAAAATCAAGGAACTTTCAGGTCGATTTGAGACATGGAAAGGGTGCCCCACCTCATGTAAATTCTATAATATATCTATATCCTTATATATTCTTTGTTTGCGTTTCAGTTTGTTTTTCTTTCTTTCCTGTTCCATTGTTGTTGTTGTTCTTGTGATATGACTAACCTCGAGAGTTTCAGGGGTTGGTAGCATCTGCATGTGGAAAAGCACTAATATGAATGTTTTTCTTTGTGTGTGCATCTTTCCAGTGTTGTTTACCAGGATGGATTTTATGGTGCAGACATTTATGTAAGTATTGATTGATGTGCATGCTGTTTGTAGTACCTACAATTGCTGGAACCATTTATTTTTTATTTTTTGCTTTTGTTCTTCTTACCTACGTTGTACGTGTGCTGCATTAAAGCTTTGGCTCTGTCTTTCTCCATGTTGCCATGTATGGAAATTCAATTGGAAGGATTACTGAGTATGGAATAGCTTGATGTCCATTGCATCAATTGCCATCTGGCTGCATTCACTACCTGGGGGGTCTTGTAGAAGGTCCAGTGGGTGAATCTGAGCTTGGATTGGCCACATGTTCTCATCTGAGAAGGCTCCTATGTCCAGAAGGGCAAAACATAGGCAAATCAGAAAGATCAAGCATCCCACCCCATTGTTTCATTCCCATATCAGCACAGCTACCTCAGATGACCAAGTGATGGGTTAGAAAGAGAGGCACACCATTCTCACCATGTCTTCTCTTTGTTCCTTCACCTACTCTTTCAGTAGGCAGGCACACAGCTTCAGAAGAAGAGTTATAGGACCTCATCAGCCTCCCCTTGGCTGAACCTCAACTTTTGCAATCTCCTGCTTTCTCCATTCTTAGCCTATGTCTCAGAAAGCCAAAGGCTGCTCATTGGCTCATTGGATTGGGAGACCTAGTCAACAACCCTTAAATTGAAGAGATAGAACTCCTGGGGGACCAATAAAGATTGGTTATCCTTCATGGGTGAAGAAAACCTTTATGGGAAACATAGAATGATCTTCATGATGAAAAGTTAACTCAATGGGCAAGCTTGGAATCATGAGAGAGGTTTTTTTTAAATCTTATTTGAAGACATTGAGAAGATGTTTTGGATAACAATCAGTTAATATCTCAGCTGGACTACTTTAAATGTAGTTTATATTACATTTATTGGTAATTAAATAGCATCTTCCTCCACAAGAAAGATAAATTCTCCTTCACTCAAGCCAAACAAACTACAAAAAGTCCTCTTTCTATACCAGATACAGGTTTAAAAGCAGTGACATTTGGGGTTTTTTTTTTTGGGGGGGGGTGTCAGTAAAGTCAAAAAAGTGGGTGTGACCCAACAAAGCCCCACCCATTTTGCATGCATGCAATAGATGAGATGTTAAAAGGCAAGATAACTATTGATGCTTAGGACATCCCTGGATATGTTCTTCCTAAATCCTCTGCAGCATCCTTCCTAACCCAAGGATTATCCCAAATTAACTTTTTTTTTTAATGTCCAAAGCTTCATAAAGTTGTGAGATATCTCAAGATGTCATGGATGTGTATCAATCATAGAGGCTTCAAAGTGATGGCAGTGCATGAAATAAAAAATAGCACCATCACCTTCGTCAATTGCAGTCATTACATAGTTCAAAGCACCAATCCCCCAAAACTGAAAGGATATTTCAAACAGCCTGAGAANGCTCTTTAGAAGGCCAGATCCTGAAGTTGAAACTCAAATACTTTGGCCACCTAATGAGAAGGAAGGACTCACTGGAGAAGAGCCTAATGCTGGGAAAGATTGAGGGCAATAGAAGAAGGGGATGACAGAGAATGAGGTGGCTGGATGGAGTCACTGAAGCAGTAGGCGTGAGCTTAAATGGACTCCAGAAGATGGTAGAAGGCCTGGAGGAACATTGTCCGTGGGGTCATGATGGGTCGGACACAGGGCTTTTTTTCTCGGAGAAAAGGTGGCGGAACTCAAACCTGGCCACGCCCTCATCAAACCCTAGGACCGCCCCTTTAGAGAACAGGAATGCAAGTAAAATTTGGGAGGGGCTATTTCCGGTGCGGCCGGCCCGGAAAAAGGTGCCGGAACGCGGTTCCGCCGCGTTCCGGCTGAAAAAAAGCCCTGGTCGGACACGACTTCGCAACTAACCACAACAACAACACACTTCTTTTCCCAACAAAACCAGGGCAGAGATTCTTTCTCTTGCTCATTTAGAGTTTCTTTCCCAGGTTTTCCACTTTTGCAGGACCAAGTATCTTCTCTGAAACTGTCCCCATAATAGTTTGCTCATTTTTTCCCCCTCCAGTCCCATGGTATTCTTTCACATCGTTTTTCCTCACAACAGCATCCCATTGAGGTAAATTGGCACAAGTGAGAATGACTGGCACAAATGTTGTCAATGCTGTGGCTGAGAAGAGAATTAAACTTAGATTTAATTGCTTTCAGATCATGTAATGTAATTACACAGTCCCCAGAATTAATCCAAAGCAGCCCTTTCTTACAAATATTTGGGATGGATGGCAATGCAGATTATTAGAACGAGTGCTGTATTTAGTGCTGGGATTCAGCCAGTTCGCACCACTTCGGCAGAACCGGTACCAAATTTTTGTTGCCTAGGCCCTGAATGGACTTCCGGAAGCGGCATCCACAAAGACAACCGGTTGTTCACTTATTTGAATCCCACCACTGGCTGTATTGCTACCAAGAGACCTTGTAGCTTTGCATTTCAGGGGAATATTTGGGGAGAAAAATATTGAAAAGTTGTTTTTATCCCTACTGGTCTTTTTGACAAATAATTCCTGTTATGCAAGATGTTCAGTATTCCTTAGAACGCAGCTTCAAAATGCAGGTTTAAACAAATTCTAGACAGCTGAAAAACCCAGCTGAAGATATATTCAATTAGGTCCTTTCATTTAGATCTTCCCCTCAATGCATAATGATCTGAGGTGAGGTGATCATTTCCACAAAGATGTATACGAGTGTGTTGCCTTGTAAAAAATAAAAAGGTTTGCCAAAAATTGGGTAGGCCAATGGAAGATGGTGGTATCACACATGCCTCCTTATACCACAGTGGTGTGGAACAGAGTACAGTTAGTCCTTGACTTACAACAGTTCATTTAGTGGCCTTATAAAGTTACAACAGCACTGGGAAAACGTGACATTTTCCACATTTGTATTTCACATTTTTCACAACCATTGAAGCGATGGTTGCAGTGTCCTGGGTCACGTGATCCGTTTTGCTACCTTCAGACAAGCAAAAATCAGTGGGGAAGCCAGATGCACTTAATGAGCTTGTTAATAACTTAGTAACTGCAGCGATTCACTCAGTAGTTGTGGCAAGAAATTGACTTCACCCCTGTCTCGCTTAGCAACAGAAATTTCTGGCTTAATTGTGATCATAAGTCGAGGATTATCTGTACATACAACCAGTCATTTGGTCTCCAACACAAGTGATAACATCATGACTGGCATCTAGACTGGTGAAGAACGTTTTGCTCTCCTGCTGAATTAGGGATGGACCCCCCGTTCGCCTCCCCTTGTGGTTCAGCTCCGTTGCCATGTGTGAAGGGGGCTTGTCTGCCTATAAATGGAACAGGTGTTATGCTAGAATGGTAAAGCAGGATAGGATATTGCATCTGTAACAATCTGTGAAGTTTGGCCAAGTTAGTTGAGGTGCTGTGGGGATATCTGAAACTCCATGGTGAAAATCCTAGGTTGGTGTATTGAAAGATGTAGCCCCAGCATAAAACACCTGTATATTAGTGGGCAGATGTTAATGCTATCAGTTTCCTTTCTTCTGAAAAAAAACCCCAACAAAAACAAAATCAAGGAACTTTCAGGTCGATTTGAGACATGGAAAGGGTGCCCCACCTCATGTAAATTCTATAATGTATCTATATCCTTATATATTCTTTGTTTGCGTTTCAGTTTGTTTTTCTTTCTTTCCTGTTCCATTGTTGTTGTTGTTCTTGTGATATGACTAACCTCGAGAGTTTCAGGGGTTGGTAGCATCTGCATGTGGAAAAGCACTAATATGAATGTTTTTCTTTGTGTGTGCATCTTTCCAGTGTTGTTTACCAGGATGGATTTTATGGTGCAGACATTTATGTAAGTATTGATTGATGTGCATGCTGTTTGTAGTACCTACAATTGCTGGAACCATTTTTTTTGTTTTGCTTTTGTTCTTCTTACCTACGTTGTGCGTGTGCTGCATTAAAGCTTTGGCTCTGTCTTTCTCCATGTTGCCATGTATGGAAATTCAATTGGAAGGATTACTGAGTATGGAATAGCTTGATGTCCATTGCATCAATTGCCATCTGGCTGCATTCACTACCTGGGGGTCTTGTAGGAGGTCCAGTGGGTGAATCTGAGCTTGGATTGGCCACATGTTCTCATCTGAGAAGGCTCCTATGTCCAGAAGGGCAAAACATAGGCAAATCAGAAAGATCAAGCATCCCACCCCATTGTTTCATTCCCATATCAGCACAGCTACCTCAGATGACCAAGTGATGGGTTAGAAAGAGAGGCACACCATTCTCACCATGTCTTCTCTTTGTTCCTTCACCTACTCTTTCAGTAGACAGGCACACAGCTTCAGAAGAAGAGTTATAGGACCTCATCAGCCTCCCCTTGGCTGAACCTCAACTTTTGCAATCTCCTGCTTTCTCCATTCTTAGCCTATGTCTCAGAAAGCCAAAGGCTGCTCATTGGCTCATTGGACTGGGAGACCTAGTCAACAACCCTTAAATTGAAGAGATAGAACTCCTGGGGGACCAATAAAGATTGGTTATCCTTCATGGGTGAAGAAAACTTTTATGGGAAACATAGAACGATCTTCATGATGAAAAGTTAACTCAGTGGGCAAGCCTGGAATCATGAGAGAGTTTTTTTTAAATCTTATTTGAAGACATTGAGAAGATGTTTTGGATAACAATCAGTTAATATCTCAGCTGGACTACTTTAAATGTAGTTTATATTACATTTATTGGTAATTAAATAGCATCTTCCTCCACAAGAAAGATAAATTCTCCTTCACTCAAGCCAAACAAACTACAAAAAGTCCTCTTTCTATACCAGATACAGGTTTAAAAGCAGTGACATTTGGGTTTTTTTTTTGGGGGGGGGGGGTGTCAGTAAAGTCAAAAAAGTGGGTGTGACCCAACAAAGCCCCACCCATTTTGCATGCATGCAATAGATGAGATGTTAAAAGGCAAGATAACTATTGATGCTTAGGACATCCCTGGATATGTTCTTCCTAAATCCTCTGCAGCATCCTTCCTAACCCAAGGA